CTGTCTGTATTGAATATAGTTAAAGTTCTCCCTTGTTTTGTCAGGGGCAAAGGGAACTAATTACATTAAGTTAATTCCCTAGATTCATGGGCCTATTCAAATGAATTTCATAAACACCATATGCTTTTCCTCTGGAAATTAAAAGGCCACGTGGGTCCCTTACTGAATGCAGGACAAAGGATACAGCAAAGGCTGAAGTACTCAATGCCTTTTTCACTTCAGTCTTCACAGGCAGGTCAGCTCTTAGACTCTGCACCTGGCAGCACAATTTGGGAAGAAGTGAGCAGCCAACAGTGGTGAAAGAATAGGTTAGGGACTATTCAGAAAATCTGGACATATACAAGTCCACGGGGCTGGAAGGGATGCACCTGAGGGTGCTGAGGGAGTTGGCTGATGAGACTCCAGAGCCGCTGACCATCATTTTGGAAAATTCATGGTGATCAGGAGAGGTCCAAGATGATTGGAAAAGGGCAAACATAGTGCCAATATTTAAGAAAGGGAAAAAGGAGGATCCAGGGAATTACAGACCAGTCAGCCTCACCTCAGTCCCTGGAAAAATCATGGAGCAGATCCTCAAGGAATCCATTTCTAAGCACTTGGAGAAGAAGGTGATTAGGAAGAGTCAGCATTGATTCACCGAGGGCAAGTCATGCCTGACCAACCTGATTGCCTTCTGTGAGGAGATGACTGGCTCTATGTATACAGGAAGAGCAGTGGACTTGATATACCTTAACTACAGCAAGGCTTTTGATGCAGTCCCTGTCAAGCTAAGGAACTATGGACTGTAAGGTGGATAGAAAACTGGCTGGAGCATCGGGCTCAGAGAGTAGTAATCAATGGCTCAATGTCTAGTTGGCAGCTGGTATCAAGTGGAGTGCCCCAGGGGTCGGTCGTGGGGCTGGTTTTGTTCAATGTCTTCATCAAGGACCTGGAAGATGGCATAGAGTACACCCCTCAGCAAGTTTGCAGATGACACCAAGCTGGGGGGAGTTGTAGATATACTGGAGGGTAGGGATAGGATTCAGTGACCTAGACAAATTGGAGGATTGGGCCAAAAGAAATCTCATGAGGTTCAACAAGGAGCCGGCAGTGTAACAAGGCCATCAACAAGGCCAATCGCACCTTGTCGTGCATTAGCAGGTGCGTGACTAATAGATCAAAGGAGGTGATGCTCCCCCTCTGTGCGGCACTGGTCAGGCCACAGTTGGAGTACTGTGTCCAGTTTTGGGTGCCGCACTTCAAGAGGGACACGGGGAATCTGGAGCGGGTCCAGAGGAGGGCCACTTGCATGATTAGTGGCCTTCATGATAGACCCTACGGGGGGAGGTTGAGAGCGCTGAATCTCTTCAGCCTTCACAAGAGACGGCTGAGGGGAGATCTTGTGGCTGCCTATAAATTTATTAGGGGAGGTCAACGGGGAATAGGGGAAGCGCTGTTTACTAGGGCACCCCAGGGAGCGACTAGGAATAACAGGTGTAAACTAGTTGAGAGTGGATTTATTTTGGATATTAGGAAGACATTTTTCACAGTAAGGGTGGCCAGGATCTGGAATGGGCTTCCAAGAGAGGTGGTGCTATCACCTAGCTTGGAGATCTTCAAGAGGAGGCTAGATAGTCACCTGGCTGGGGTCATCTGACCTCGGTCCTCTTTCCTGCCAGGGGCAACGGGTCAGACACGATGATCCATTGTGGTCCCTTCCGACTCTACAATCTATGAATCTATGAATAAGGACAAGTGCAAAGTCCTGCACTCAGGACAGAACAATCCCATGCACCGGTACAGGCTGGGGGCTGACTGTCTGGGCAGCAGCTCTGCAGAAAAGGACCTGAGGGTTATAGTGAGAATAAGCTGAATATGAGCTGGCAGTGTTTCCTTGTTGCCAAGAAGGCTAACAGCATTCTGGGCTGCATTGGTAGGAGTGCTGCCAGCAGGGTCAAGGGAAGTGATTATTGCCCTCTATTCAGTGTTGGTGAGGCCACATCACTGTGCTCAATTTTGCACAACTCCCCCCCCCAATACAGAAAGAATTTGGACAAATTGGAGAGAATCCAGTGGGAGGAAATGAAAATAATGAGGGGACTGGGACACACAACTTCTGAGAGGCTGATGGAACTGGGCTTGTTTAGTTTAAAGAAGACTGAGGGGATTTAAGAGCAGCCTTCATTTACCTGAAGGGCAGTTCGAAAGAGGATGGACCTAGGCTGTTCTCAGTGGTAGCAGATGACAGAACAAGGAGAAACAGTCTCAAGTTGCAGCAAGGGAAGTTTATGTTAGATATTAGAAAGAATTGTCTCACTAGGAGAGTAGTAAAACACTGGAACAGGTTACCCAGAGAGGCTGGTGACTCTCCCTCCTTGGAGGGTTTGTCAGACCTGGCTAGACAAAGCCTTGGCTGGGATGATCCTCCTTTGAGAAGAGGGTTGGACTAGATGACCTTCTGAGGTCCCTTCTAACCCTAACTTCCTCCGATTCTATGTATTGTGTGTGTATTGTCCGATAGATTTCTGTGAGACTTGCAGCGGTGACTTGAAATGGCTAGATGTCAGAGATGGGGAATCCAGATGAAAGCAGTAATATGTATTGGGCTCTTTTGTCTATCTGGTTCCTTTACTAAACAATTTTTTCTACCAGCAGCTATGACCAAACACGAGGGATATTCTTGGATCTGTGGGCTTTTGCAAGCCCAATTAAGTGGACAGGAGCCCATGCTGCACACCTGAGCTCCACTCTGGAGCAAGGCTGGCAAAATAGTGCATCTCCTTTAGCTCCTCAGGCTGGCAGAAGGGGAAGAGGAGAGAGTGTGAAGAGTATAGCTTTCCCAGAGTAGGAATGCCCAGACGATTGGTTGGGGAGTTCTCAGGCAAGCTTCTGCGCAGCACAGCAGACAAGAGCTGAACTATGTAAACCATGCTGCCTCCAGGTACCCCCATCAGTTCCCTAATTGCCCCTGTAATAACCCACAGCACAAAGCTAGTCTGAAGAACATAAAGAGCCTAAGCAAACCCCACCCATGTGACTGCAATGACCTGTTCTGGAGCTGAAAGTTTGCCTATGAGGTTCTCCTGGACCAGTAGCCTCCAACCTTTTAAGGGTGAAGATCACTTTTTGTAAGTAAAGGGCACCCCAGGATTTACCACCCCCGCCCCACGGACAAGCTGCCTGGGCTCTGACCCCACTCACCCAGCCCGGCCCAGGCGGCAGGAGGCATGGCTCAGCCCAGGCATGTGCATCATGCTGCTCCTGATCATTAAGCCTCTGACAGACAAGATGGACTGTCAGAGGCCCCCTGACCGACCAGATGATCGAGATAGCCTGGTTGGTGACCACTGTCCTGGACTTTTCCCTAGTACCTGCTTGCAGGACCTGCTGGAGCTCACTGTTAATTCTGGATCTGGAGTGGGTCAGCAGATTCAGGTGTGCAGCATGGGCTCTGGCTCTCTGGGATGAGACACACTGCTGCCATGATAGAAACAAACCAAGAGACATCTTCAATAACATGGCCCATTTCAGCTGCAAAACTAATGTGGCTATTTAAGTCCCTGCCAAGCCTTCCAACGCAGAAGCCATTGGCAGCTTCTTGTTCTCTCCATAGATTTCCACACTTCTAATGGACAGCTAGAAACTTGGGGTTTTCCTTTATAAGTAAATAATAAAAGAATGTTAAGATCCTTCCTCATAAGACAATGCCTGTCTCTACTAGAAATGGCACACTTGAAACCCCACTTTTCTCGGTAATTAGTTCATTTTTCCAGTAGCTACCACATGCAAAAGGTCGAGTTTCTTTTGAGGCTGCAGCAGTGGCCTCCTACGTTGCTTCTCTGACTTAAATACACTTATTTCTAGACACTCAAAAAAAAAAAAGTCTTCAGAATAAAAAAAAAAAAGCTTCAATTGACAAGGCTTGCAGCTATTTTTAAATAAGTCCCAAAGCCACGTTATCTTTTTTTTTGTTCAAACACATTTTTAATGAAAAAAATGGAGGGTATATTTAAAATTAAAGTGGATATTTTTAGCTGTCCAAAAACAATCAGATTTTTTAAAATGAAAATACTCTCCTGTTTAGCAAACCTCTTATTACATTTAAGCAAAATGTTCTGAAACCAAAACACTGCTGAAGTTAAAGTGACAGGCTATAAATCAACTTCATTTAGTCAGCCCTAAACCCTAGTAAATTGGTATTAGTGGTGCAGCATGTCAATCTGAGGACAGAAATCTAGATGGACTTTGATTTACTAGTTTATGCCCCTGGGGAGGAATGTAGCGGAGACTTTATATTCGTTCATAGAATAAAAGCTTTTGCTGTTCAAAAAATATTAACAGAGTTGACACACACACACTGAACTTGACCAGCAACAGAATATCCTCTAATTTTGCAAGCATAAAGGTGTATGCCAGGAGTTTGTAGACCTTCTTTGTGTACTACTCGCATGTGTCCATTAGAGCAGTTTCACAGCCAGAAGCACCTGATATGAATTATCAGAGGCAGACTGGAATTGCCAACAATTTGACAGTTTTTGTCAGTACAGGCATCCCCTGCATCTTACACGGGGGTTATGTTCTGAAGGCAGCACGTAAAGGTGAAAACCGCGTATAGTGAAATCGCATATTACCGTGCCAGCGGTGACTGCCTCTGCCTCCAAAACCTCCCACCGCTGCTGCGGAGCCATGCTTAGAGCTGTGTGGCCAGCAGCAGCGGGGCAGCACGGGGTGGTGGTGGGGGTGGGTGG